AGAGAGGTTTTTGCTTTAGGGCACATGCGCTTGCCAGAAAGAGAGACAGAGAGACAGAAAGCAAGAAATCACCTCCCAGAGGGGATGGCCATGCTGCAATCCCTTCTCCTCCATTCTCCTCTCGGGATCTTGGGCATGCATGCATACATGCCCAGTGTGAGTTTAAGCCACCAGGTCCAGGACTCGAACCATGTTCAACTACATGGGATCCAGTGACATAGCCATTACTCCAACTGCTGGTTCCAATGTTTATTTCTATATTTTTAATTACTTTTTTTAGTGAGAGAGAGATAGAGATAGGTTTTTGGTTTTGTTTTTGTTTTCTTCTTGACATAACTTGATCTTCTTGCCCTGGCTTCATGGTTAGCTAGTATTACAGGTGTGTATTACCATGCCTGGCCTGTTTAGGTTGGTTTGGGAAGCAAACCTGGGTCTCCTTTGTAGACCCAGCCTTGCACAGCAACACAATAAATTTTAATGTGTGTATACCATAAATGTTTATGGAAGTTACCTATGAATTCAAAGTTTGATTTGGTTGAAACACCATTAAGTTTTCCCCTACCACCACACTGTGCCTCACAATTTTTTAAAACTCAGTTTCTTTAGAGGAAAATTATAAATTCAAAGTTAATTTAATTGTAAAGCTATTTTGGTGACATTCTTTTTTTAGTTGATGTGTTCTCTTGAGAGAGATTTGTAATTATGACCTTAGTCATGTCATCATGACACTTTTAAACGCTTTAATTGTTCTAAACATGTGGAAGACGCAAGTTGGACTTGTGAGTCTTGGTTGGTAAACCACTTAAGTGTTGAAATTGTTGGTCCCATACTTACCTAGATAAGTTAATCTATTTTATTTTTGTGACTCTTCTGGGGTGGGGACATGGAATGTTGCTTAGTACATCTTCAGGACCAACTGGAGGTGACCAATGAATACATACATGTTGTGGAAATAGATTCATTTGAAACTATAAAACTTAATTTTTAAAGTGCATTAACTTAAAAACAATTTTTTTGTATTTATACTAGAATTGGTTAAGGTTAAATAGAGATTAAGAGGTTGAAAAAGGATAACTTTATTTTGCTCTTTAAAAAAAAAGACTAATCAATACTTTTGAACTTACAGGTTTATTTATTTTTGCCAGTTGTTCTAAGAATCTTTCTATCATTGTATCATTTTAAACGGATTAATTATTTAAAAAGTTAACACATGAGATTAGCAGTTATTATCCTCCAAAAGAGAAAAATAGCTTGTTAGAATCAATCAGACTCGAATTAGTAGGTGACTTTTTTTTTTTTTTAAGAAATCTTTTATCACCATTTTTAATTTTATGCCGTGCTTATCTTATTTGGATTTTTCTATGCTTTTTCTATAGCTCACACTACTCAGTTTACCCAACCAGGTTGGTATTACCTGAAGACAGTTGGCCATTTAACGAAAGGAGGAAGCTACGTAGCTCTGACAGATGGCTTAGGTAACCTCACCATCATCATTGAAACTATGGTAATTGTTCATTATTATTACTGGATTAGCTCACTTCTTTAGTACTGGCAAAAAGCCGTAATACAAAATTGAACACATTTTTTAAAAACACACATAAATATACAGACAGATGACAAGTTCATAAAACTTTTATTTTAAAATGTTAGCCATGAGTCTGTAGAACCTAGTAACACAGCTCACTGGTTTATATAAAAGAGCAGTACTGGTTCACATAAGATACTTAGCTCTCATCTTTTCTCCACTTTCTGTTTCTGGCAAATAGAATACATTAAAGTTACCTGCTTACCACAGGCATAATAAAATTTAACGTGTATGCCATAAATGTTTCTGGAAGTTAGCTATGAATTCAAAGTTTGATCTATGTGAAATGCCATTAAGTTTTTCCTTAAGGCACAAATACACACATTCAGTAAAGGTGTATTTGTGACTATTATATTAGAAAAAAGTCTTTGAAATTTTGAAATGCATTTATATTTGTTAACTAATGTATACCATTTCTGTTAATTCTCATGCATTAACTATTTAATGTCCCTCACCAAATAGCTTGTACATCACATAGATAATATATGTAATTTTTCTTTTTCCCTCAGAGTCACAAACACTCTATGTGTATACGGCCGTTTCTTCCTTATTTCAATGTGTCACAACAACTCGCGACCTTTGTCCTTAAGGGGTCTTTTGTAAGTAAATATGTGTGACTTTTATTTTAGTTTTCACTTGAAAATTCATATATTCAATCACAGACCAACAGTTCTTAAGTGAAGTCTTGAATTATGAACTGTTAACAGTTTGCATGTGAATGGACAGATGTCCTGTGCCTTCTGTCTCCTGACTGTTAGCCAAATAAACAGGGCAGGAGCCAGCAGGGGGTCGAGGAACTCCAAGGAAGTTGTTCTTGGTGGCTGAAACATCAGTTGTATGACTTGGGGAACATTTCAAGCATTGATCTTTACAGCACTCTATACCAAATAAAACAAAGCAACTAACAACAAACATACCAGCCCTAGGTTCTTACTATTTCTACTTATTGGAGATTTGAACTGAGAAAATGCACTGCCCTTTCTGATTACAGCATTAAGAATTTATTTATTTTGTTTATTTATTTAAAAATCTTTTTAGGGAGCAGCAGGTGGCATCATGGTTGAGGTACTGGCCTCCCACATGGCCGACTGTGGTTTGAGTCCTGTACTTGGAAGCTTGCTTCCTTATTTTCTCTCTCTCTCTGTTTTTCTTGTGTGTATATGGCAAATATAGTAAATTAAAAAATAATAATCATAAATAAAACTAAGTAATTCTTAAAAAATTCTTTTTATTAGCATATAGTAATTTTACATAACTGGGGATACAGTATGGTTTTATAGTATAAGAATACACTATGTGATGATTACATCAGGGTGATTGGCATAGCCATCATATCCTTTGTCCTGACTGTGTTGGGAACATTCAGAGTCTTCGCTTTTGGTTACTTGGAGATATACAACCAAGTTGTTTCCATGTATATTCTCCCCACTATATTTTATAACAATAAACATCATTCTTCCTATTTGCATTTTTTCTGTTAGTCATCATCTTTTCCACTCACATCCCTTTTCAACCTCTGGCATTCATTCTTTATCCCTTTACCTCAATGAGGCCATTTTTCTTTTTTCCCCCAGTTTCCACATATGAGGGAGAACATGTAGTGATTTTCTATGTCTGGCTTATTTCACTTAACATTATATCCTCGAGGTGTGCCCATTTAATGTCAAATGACAAGATATCATCCTTTTTAATAGTTGAGTAGTATTTCATTGTATCACACCATGTTTTCTTTATTCATTCTTTAGTTGATGGGCACTTTACTTCCATATGTTGGCTTTTGTGAATAGTGCTGCAGTAAACATTGGAACGCAGATATCTTTGCGACATACTGATTTTTTTTCCTTTGGATATATATCTAGTCATGTGATTAGCATAAGAATTATTATTGTTACTGTTTGTTAGCGTGTGATATGGTGTGTGACCTTGACGTAGAGAGACAGAGAGATAGGGAAACAGAGAGAGAAAATGAGAAAGCACCCTCCAGAGAGGATGGCCACACTACAGTCCTTCTCCATTCACCCATAGGGATTTGGAAACACACACATATGTCCAACATTATTTTTTAAATAATTATTTCATTTAACTTTATTTTGATTTATTTTAATTTGACTAGAGAGGGACAGAGAGAGAGAGAGAGAGAGAGAGAGAGAGAGAGAGAGAGATTGAGAAAGCAAGCCGCCAGGTCCAGGACTCAAACAGCACTCAGCCAGTGAGCATCCAGTGCCCTTAACCACCACGCCACCTATAGGCCTCCCGCCAGCATGCAGCATGTTTTTTAAGCCACTGGTTCAAGACTTTGAACTGTGTAATTGGCTATGTGGAAAGCTACCAACTTAACCACCATACCACTGGTTGGTCCAGAGTTATTTTTTGAATACCAGAGAGTTCTTTTTTATTGTTTTTATTATCAGAGGGCAGATTTCTCATTAGAGAGAGGAGGAGAGACAGAGACAGGGAAAAAGGGAGAATTCCCTAATTGGACATGATCATGCTATAATCTTTTTTTCCTCTAGTTCTCCATCCTTTCAGAATTTGGGACATACATGCACACATGACTGGCATGTCTTTCAGGTTGTAAACTGGTTGGTCATGTGGGATCTGGCTCCTTATGTATAGGGCTTAACTGCTATGCTATAAAGCTAACTCAATACCAAATAATTCTTTTTTTTTAACTATTTATTTATTATGGTTATTTTAAAGTTTTGCTATAGAACACATACACTCTCCAGAGAGGGACAGAAAGAGAGAGTGAGAGAGAAAGTGAGAGAGCAAGCCTTCAGGTCTAGGTTGGCCATGTGGGGGTCTAGCGCCTTAACCACCATGCCACCAGCTGGCCCAAAGAATTCTTAAATGGCTTTCTACACAGAGATTATAAAAGGTAGTTTGAATCAAAGGTGCAAAAACCTTTTATAACATTTGCTAATTTTTTATTTTTATGGATGCGTGCACTTTCTTGAGAGAGACATAAAAACAGAGAGAGAGAACACAAAGAGAAAGTGATCCCCCCACCAGGAATGGTCATGCCGTAATCCTTTCTTCTTCATCTCTCCCTCCTTTTAGGATACTTGGACACACATACACACACATCCGTCATGTTACTACAGCTACTGGGCCTGGGACTCAAACCTCACAGTCAGCCATGTGGGATCCAGCTGCTTTAACCACCAGGCCACAGAGCTGGTCCTGCTATTTTTTTTTTCTTTTTTTTTTTTAAGAAATAAAGTATTTGCTTGAATAATGCCTTTTTGTTTTTAAAAATGTTACTGTTTGAAATTTGTGTTGGATCTTAACTAGGAATAGAGTGTGCATTGTTTTTGGTCTTTTCTTGCTGGGACAGATTTTAGAAATGCTCAGAGAAGCTATGATGAACCACACACTCATACTTGTTTTGTGTTTTCTCCCCAGAGTGAAATACCAGAGCTACAGGTGTGGTACACCAAACTTGCAAAATCATCTGAGAGAGTTCTTTTTAAACAACTGGATTCTCTATGGGTAGTTTAAAATAAATTATCTTACTGTGGGTATTATAGTAAAAGGAAACAGACATTTGATTAATGCATTAAGAATTTTTAACTTTATTATTAACATTATGGCAGAAGCATAATGAAGAGAAAGTTGTTCCCAACTTTTTTTTTTAAATCTATAAAAATACTCTTCAAGGCAGTATGGAAGTTTGTGTATTTATAGATAACTTTTTGCTCTTTCTTGCTTAATTCATCTTGGTTGATAGTGCCACTGTCACTTCTCTGCCCTCCTCATTTAAGGCTGTCTTTCCCTTTAGATCCCTCTAGATCCCATCACTGATCAAACAGAGATTATTTTATCATCTATGTCTGACCTCTTCTTCTTTCTCCATGCTACTACTTGATCCAGTTTCTCATTATCTTTCTCTTAGATTTCTGTTTTTCCAGCGTCCAGTATGATTCTTTTCAGGTAACCACATTGTCACCAGAATGATGCATCTAAAATGCCGATCTAACTTTTGTCAGTCCCTTCCTCAGAATGCTTCGGTGATTTTTCCTAAAAGTTCACTTTTTTAGCATAGTACACACTCTTCATTAGGTAGAAGAGTGTTTTCCTTTCTAGGTGCATGCCATTCTAAACCGGACTCTCCTCACAGACTAAACTTGCATTTTTCAAAGCATGGTATGCCTGTTTACATACTCTGGCTTTACACATGATTTTTCCTACTCCTAGAATGGCTTCTATCATATCTCTGTCATTTCTCAAGAATTCATTCAAGTGCCATTTTCTCTTCAGCTTTCCTCACAAGTCTTAGCTTACCCATTCTTGTCCCTGCGATGGACTCCTTGAGGACAGACCTAGCTGTTCTGTCCCAGATTCCCGCTGCAGTGCTTAGCATATGGCAAGCTCTCAGGAAAAGTTTCAGGAATCGAGTGGCTCAAACCAGCATATTACATCACCTAATTGACTCAAAGCTGCTACTTTTTCTGTTAATTTTCAATGTTCTGATAATTAACTAATCACCATCAATGACTGAACACCCATGATATAGTAAGTTCTATAAAAAGAACAATCTTGGGACCAGCAGTTAGCATAATGGCTATGTCGCTGGACTCCATGTAGTCGACTGTGGTTTGCATCCCGGACCCGGTGGCTTAAAACTCATGCCGGGCACATGTGCGTGCGTGCCCAAGATCCCGAGAGGAGAATGGAGGAGAAGGGATTGTGGCGTGGCCATCCCCCTGGGGGGTGATTTCTCGCTTTCTGTCTCTATGTCTCTCTCTGTCTGTCTGGCGAATGCACGCGCCCTATAGCAAAAACCTCTCAAAAAAAAAAAAAAAAAAAAAAAAAAAAAA